AAAATAATCGGTGACTAGTCGACTATCAAAATAATCGTTTGTGGCAGCCCTAGAGTCCGGGTATGATAGATCTTGAAATTCACAAATGCAGTCATCAAATAGACACCATGGATTGTATTTCATTGCTTATTGCTACTTGGCACAACACACGCCCACCAACAGAGCCCAGGACAATGTTTTAATGCAGGCCTGCTGATGCAGACAGTAAACGAGAACCATCTTAGAGAAACTTAGCCATGCTCATTATCCTCACATTGTCAATCATCACATCAACAAAACTCGGCTTTTGTACTCCATCTTGAAATCTCCAGTAATACTTTTTTTTATAATAACAAAACAGCAAAATAAAAGCATTGAAAGGAGAAAGAGCCAGGAGACGAAGCTGAAATGATGGAACGGACTGAATAAAAAGTGCAGAGACGTGATGAATGGGGAGATGTGGGAAAGACAGACAAGCGAGCGAGGTGAGAATGCGTTGATGTAATTGATGTGTGGACTCATTTAGACAGGTTTTCCATATGCTGTCAGTTCCAGCAGGACAGACTGCTTTAAGGAATGAACTGTGTGAAAGACAAGTCGTTTGACCATGACGCTGGAATGTGTGCAACTGACAGTGTGTGTGCACGCGCGCTCATCTTTAAACACATACCGGCATACACATACTATACGAACCAATGCAAACACACATCCCCAGGGGGTAAAAAGAGTGCATGTACGTCTTCACCGTGATGACTGCACTCGTCAGCACCGTGAATGACGCTCATTCTGGGCCAAACATCTGAAAAAACTCAGCAGAGGGGCTCACAGTGCTTAATGTTAACCTGCTAACATCAATCAAATTGATCGGATCAGTCTGTACCCTCGCTCGGCTTTTTGCGCCGATCGCATTTTCGCTCCAGCTACGAAATAAGAGTTGTTCTTTCAATTTTTACAATCATTACTTCTGACTGAGTTTTGCCATCTTAATACCTGCAACCAGTGAAGCTGCTTCCCTTAGTTTAACCATTTTCTACAAAGTGAATTTAGATAATCTATTCAAAATCTTCCAATTACCGAGTCGCTCTTTTTCCCTCACACTATAAAACCAATTTTCTAACATTCCTGCCTCTCATCCTTTCCGGCTTCTTGGTGTTAATACAGTGTAAATAGACCGGACAGTAATTGAGCAGCTCGCTGACAAGTGCTCCTGCAAAGTGAAGGATCAGGACAGAGCACATGAGACTGAATTTCTCACGTTTGTAATCACAGTTTCACCTCATCCTTCCTTTTGATGCCACATTGCATGTGAGGGCTCACATGTCAGGTTGCATTCCTTGGACTGAGATACCAAATAAAAGGACATACCTTGCAATAAGTAGAATATATTCTATTCTGTGCGTACGCAGCAACATCAGCCGCTGCTCTGAGTGGTCACAGTGCTAGCCCCGCCTTCAAACCAGCCATTTCAAAAGCAATGAGATTATGTGCCACAGTCTTCGACCCTAGAGTGCCTAGCTTTGGTTCATTTGATTTGAA